GCTGTGCTTTAACCCACTGTGCCACCAAGGAGGGCCCTATTTTGGCCTTTATGAACACTTTTCATTTATGTCTCCTTCTGTAATGAGGAAATGTGTCCTTCTGGTTTGTGTTTGCAAAGATAATCAATAAAGTCAATGGTCCTGTAAACAGTACTGACTGTAGGCAATAATAAATAATAGCCTGTTAATAATAAAGATACCCTGTTTTCTTATCAATGTAGACAAACTCTTAGATCATGATACTGTATATGAGTAGCATGATCTGTGGCAATATTAAAGTTTTGAATTTTTGTATAATTTCCTAGTTATATCAGTATTTGTCATATTTATGTGAGATATGATTTGTTGAAATTTAAAACAGAAAAAAAAATCTAAAAGGTTTTGGTATGAATTACATGGAAATTGTCAGGCTAGTCAAATGTCATTATTATAAAGTTAATTACTTTCAACTATTACTTTCACGTCATGTGGTTTTAAAGGTTAATACTATGTATTTAAAAGGATACTTGACTGTGTGTAAATGTATTCATACACAACATATGTATGTATGTATATTTGAAACATAAATTTATATATACCAATATACATATGTTGAATAGTTAAATCCTGGAAATTCTTTACGTGACTGTGGTAATGGGATTTTTGTTCAGGGAAGTATTAATAACTAAAATGAGTTCTTAAAAGTGCCCCTACCCAATGGGAGTGGGATCATGAGAAGATCACAGCACAGACACATGGAAGGAGATGGTAAGTCAACATACAAGAGAAGTCTAAAGTTAAGTGAAAGAGATGGGCCTCAGCAGAAAGCAGCCCTGATGTAGTATTGATCTCAATCTTCTAGACTATATAACAGAGACATAAATTGCTGTTGTTTAAGCTCCTAGTCTGCGGAATTCTGTAACAACATTGTGATATATAAAGTCTCTGTCTCAGCATATTGTGCACGTGTGTTCACATGTGTGTGTTCAGCTGTCTAAATCAGAGTGAGTGAAGAAGGGGCAGAGCTGGATAGAGGTATATGTGTGTGCCAGCTACTTATGTAGAGGTGTGGTGATGTAGAGGTGTCATATGAAAGTGTCTATTATAAATAAAAGGATGCTACAAAATAAGTGTTTTTATCATCTTGAAAGTGCTTAATTTTTATTTAAGTGTAATTGTCAGTGTAAATAATAAACTTCGTTGATGTACCAACTGTCCACGCTCTGTGTAAAATCATAATATAATCATAATATAAATCATGCTAATATTTCTCTGAAAAGTCAATCATTCCATCTGGATAGTTTCAAATAGGGTAATTAGGGTTCTGTCTAGAAATCTGTTGTTCACTGTCTTTGGAAAATATTTAAACTCCACAGTACAAGTCCAATCCAGCTCTTCATTAGGTGGCTTCTTATGGGACAAGGCAACTATTTACTCAAATCTAGAGTCCTTGAGCTTTGTCCTTGGAAGAAGGCCATCCAGCCTTGTTTGAAAATTGGTCCCTCAAGGATGACCCAACATTGATTATTGCCCCAATATATGAGGTGCTCTGGAGTCATCAGATGAGAGACAAGGCATTCCTGCTTGGCTGTCTTCTCAGTAGCTCCCTAATATTCTTTAAAGACATCAGTCACAAGCAGCAAACTTCACTTGACCAGGAACTTAACAAAATTCCTGGGTAATTTATTATTCCATCAGAATAAAAATGCATGCCCAACTATTGAAAAAGAAATTATCACAAAGAAAACATACATTGTATCACAGAAAGTTTAAACTCAATTGTTTTTCCTATTTTATTTGTGAGGAAAGGTTTAGGTTGAGCCATCCCATCTCTAGACTGACACATCAGAAGGTTTTTGTGCTTTCAACCCTCTTTGGCTCACAGTAAGTATTACTGAAAAATTACGGGGCTTTAAGAAATGACACCTCTAAGAAAAATTTGCACACACATCACTAAGACATGAGCCGGTGTGATGTCAGAACGTGTGGGGACAGAAACATGGAATGATGGAATCTGGACTCCAAGCAATGTTAGGATTTTGCAATGTATTTTTAGTAAAATTTGACTGAAAAGGTAAAATTGGGAACACATTTTCTGAAAATTGAAACTCATTAATTAGTTAATATGCTTATACACATCACTGAAGTACTTTAAGGTTGGTATTTATTTGTCATTAGTGTAAAATAATATTCAATGCAAAAGTAAATTTGAGTTTAAGATTTCTGTGATATGTGTTTT